TGCCAAGGCTTTGCGAGATGCTTCGGAACATGAGTCTGATGAATGTGAAGATGAAGAGGACATCAACGCTGGCGATGGTGAGGATGATGACGATGATATGGGCGACGCTGACGACCAGGAGAAAAGCAACCAGGAGGAGAGCGAGGAGGAGCAGAGCGACAAGGAGCAGAGCGACAAGGAGCAGAGCGACAAGGAGGCAGAGAACGAGGAGGGGGGGGACAGTGGTGATGATGAGGGCAGTGAGGCCAACCAGGGTGCATCATCGCCGTTCTTCCCTGACAACTTCAGTGAGCTCTTTGGCAAGCCGGAGTTGGAGGGTGCAAACTCTGATGTGGAGGAGAACCCCATGGACACTGCTTCTACGTTGGTTCTTGGTGATGATGTTGCTACATTGGATGATGTGGCACAGGAGCCAAGTGGATCTGAAGATGAGACTTCGACTGAGGATGGCTCGGACGAGGAAGATGGACACGTGGAGAATGACTTGGTGACCCCTCCCAAGCGCCCAGCTGCGGACACTGAAGTGGCTAGGCCTGTTTCATTGTAAGTGTTTTTGTGCCCCTGGCCCTGTACCCAACGTATTTCAGTCTAATTGTTGTGTAGAAAAAGCAAAGGTCAACAGTAACAAACAGTAAGATCAGCTAAGGCTTCAAGCACCGTGAAGAAAGCAAAGGTTGAGCATAAGATGCTTTCAGCCACTCTGGAACCAATTTAGCAATATGTTGCTTTTCATTCATCATTTTTGGGGAACGTATGCCATTATGGGCTGATTAGTTCTTTCCACATTTCGAGAACGATCCATTTATATAACTCATGTCCAGTTTTTTCACAAGATTGGTTTAGATGACCATCAGTCGAGAAAAGTTTGGGGGCTAAACTTTAAACACTCAAAAAAACTGCAAGTGAAAAATATTCTTTAAACCTTATAAACTTTAAACATGCAATTCTCCCAACATGTGAGGCCATGGTTCCCGACTGGGCAAGGGGCAAGGATGCGCGTGGAGTTGCCAGGTATAACAAAGCAAATCAAAGCAAGCATTTTTCTTACACCCAAAAACGTGTAAACCCAATAGCTATGGTTAATGTCACTGTCTCGTTTGTTGGGGGCCACCTTACCTACTGTTGCCGTTTTTTTCGGGCCATCCAACTTGCTCCACAGGCTTTGGATCGCAAGAGTGCTGCAAAGTCTGATGATTTTCGCCCTGATGATTTGGACAACATGGACCCTGAAGCAGCTTGGAAAAAGAATAAAGACTGCTCGACTGCTTCTGCAACCAAATAAAAATGATAACTAAAACCTTTTGAGTTTCACTTCTATTACAGGGGGTTGAGAAGGAGCTGGGGGAATTCCCTGAAAACTTTACACGAGTATCTTTGCGTAACACGCACACACAACATACGGGTTTCTACATATATACCGTAGGTTGTAGGGAAACTTGTAGGACATATTTTGAGTAGGACAAGTCCATCTTGAGAACACGATTCCTGTTCCCGTTTGTGCCTGTCTCAGGAAGTGCGGCGATTGAAGATGCAAGATGCCCACCCAGCTCGCCCTGCAACTTGGCAGAGGTTCACTCTGTGGCAGATTAATCTGGGGGTCACTTTGAACGTGTTTGAGGGTAAATTCATATGTTTCAAGAGGTTCTTGTGATCCCCATGGCCCAACATAGGCTACATAAATCCGCAACATTACAAGTTTGCTGCTTCAAAGAATCAAGATTTGGGTCTTAGAATGGCTTGTGAGAACCACACCCAAATGTCATGATATTTATTGGGTTCGTTTCTCCTTGGTATGACTGCAAACCTGGAATATGACTCACCCTCTTGATATTAAACATCATCCATAACACATTGTTTAGTAAAGGGTATACACATAGTTGGGACCACTTAGGGGGTTTTCAATATCAGGGAAATGGGATCGGCTTAAACATGCATATACATACACATACATATACATGTATACACATACACACATACACACATACACACATACACACATACACACATACATACATACATACATACATACATACATACATACATACATACATTCATACGTACATACATACAAACATACATACATTCATTCATTCATTCATACATACATACATTCATGCATACATACATTCATACATTCATACATTCAAACATCCAATCATTGATACATACATACATATATACATGTGTGTGTATTTACAAATACATACTTACTTACTTCCCTAAAAAGGGTTGGCAGAACATCTTATTTCCCATGGTCAGTGTTTGCCCTGGGCTTCAACGTACCTGCAGGGTTCAAAACATCACCCAAAAGACCATATTTGTTTAGTATATTGTTTCCACATGCATGCCCAACCTACAGCTTGAGGCTGCAGCCAATGGTGCTACATCATTTCGTGAGAGCATGGGCATGTTGGGGGATGCTGAAGACAAGGCTAAGAGACCAGTTGTGACACCTGACACTGTCAAGCTACCCCCCATGCGGAAACCCAATTGGATGGGGCAAGTTGAAGGTGGTCTTCTCAGTGCGTCTCCCCCAGTCATTGGACCGCAGGCTAGGGACTAATGCCAAATCCTTGTTGTTTCCATTTTGCCCCACCAAGAAAAAAATCAGCCGGCCTATCCATGCCTTTCCTAAACATCATCCAGCCGGCCCATCCAGGCCAATGAGGGAAAGAAAGGCAGGAAGAAATCCAACAAGAAGGTGAAGGCATGTGAGAAACGCAGGGCCTCTTTCCGCAGATCCCACAAAATGAAGAGTGACAGGGAGCCATCCCCAGAAGCACCCGTTGGTGCTGCGGGCAATGCGGGTTTTTCTGGTGATCATCCAGGTGAAACTAGTGATGACGATGAGGCGAAACTTGACAAACTGTGTTTATACGTGTTTATCATGATATCCCGGAATTCTTATTATGGTTTAACAAAAAGGTTCAGGAAAACATTCCATAAGATCCGTTTGGTATTTGAACTAAAAAACCATTTCCTGGTCATACCTCACTCCAGAAGGCCTCGTACAACGGCTACAGCTTGAAGGGCATGCCGAAGAATGCGATGCCAACGGGAGGACACAAGGGATTCCACAGCTACACGGTCATGAAAGGCAAGGCAAAGATCGAAGTGTTGCTTCGTCAGAAAGCATTTTATGTGAGAGGCGCACCCAGTATCAGGGGCCAAGTTACTTGGTCGAAATTTCCATCCATCAGAGATGCATGGATTGCTGCGTGCACAAAGGCAGGAGTTTTGCCATAGACCCCTACTTGTAGCAGTGCTGTTTTGGTATGGTATTCCCACAGTTCTATAACGTGGGCTTGAAGTCTTCACAAGGAAGATTTTTTTCGATGGCAATGCGGCTGGCTTAGAACCCTTGTTTGAGTTACTCATGTCACTGAAATTGCTGCTTTTGGTTGAGGGCGTGCTGGCCATTTGCCAAACAAGGGGTCATGCACTGGGCTCATCGGACAGCTCTAGTGGTGTTGGTTTACGGTGCAAAGCACCAAAACTTGGGGTTGGTAGAGGGACGGGCGAAGAAATGGTGACATCTTGAAGCGAGAAAAAACCATGGAAGCAATTTGATCACTTTGTCATACTTGTCCTTTTATTTGAAGGTTTCAAGGTGGATGTTTCTTCCTACAGTTTGTCAATATGAATTGAGCGACTTTTTCTTGAATGGTGGTTCCAAGTGGCAATTTTCTGGTTGGTTTGGCACCCCCAAAAAAAGGCCCCCACAAACCAAACAAATATGTAGCAAAACTACGGGAAATATGCTATTGGAAGTAGACTTGTGGGGGCCTTTTTTGGGGGTGGCAAACCACCAGGAAAATTGTAATTCCAAACCCTTTTACAAAAAAGTAGGAGGGTCACAGAAAAGGGTTTAGAACAGCATTGGAGGGAATTGTCTCTAGTAGAAGCACAATACCCTACCTGCAGCAGTACTGAAATAATGTACCTTGAAAACTGACAGAATATTGGAACCTATTTACTGTACCGCTGAAGATGTTCAGTTTCAACTCTGAAATCGAACTCGCACTCGGAATCATCACCCCCTTTCAATCTTAAACTCCAAATGCTTCCTTGTGTGCGTAAGGGTTTTGGTGCAGAAAACCATATTACGTGCTTTGTGTGATCCAAAGTCTAGCCAGCTATGGGTAAAAGGGCCCCGGCAAAGTCATCGATCCGCAGCGCTTCCCAACGGCAGAATCCAGCCGTGGGGGGGCCTCCACCAAAGTCGATGAGCTTCAAGGAGATCAAGCGGAGGTCCATCATCGCAGGCCTTCGAGCGATGAGGGCACCCGCAGCTGCTTGCCCCAACTGTTTGATGTAAAGCCCCCTTAATTAGGATATTACTCTCTGTGGCCAGTTCAATGGGGAGGGGCTTCTCAATGGGCCCAATAATGCAAACACCAGAAATGTTTGATCAATTTGTTTGTGGAAGGAGTTCCCACTTAATAGTTATCACGTGAAACTATCTAGATGGCGCCCCTTCAATGAAATTCCCCAGGGTGGTTTTGATCTGGGGTTGACATTCCCATAAGGTCGTGGCCATTTTGGTCAACATGGTGTTCGGGCTTCCTTTACCATTTTCTGCAGCCAACCAGATCCAGCACTTGGAGCTGTTTGCTGGGGATTGTGCAGTATCAAGATCTGAGCAAGCGGACAAGGGTTACAGGCCAAAAAACGATAATAAAAGTACAGACCAATCTAACGGTTCCCCTTCAAGTCGAAGAACCCAACATTAGAAAAGATTTGGGGTTCAGCTCCATGTATCATATTCAAACATTGATATGAGAATCATTTTCAGAAGTTACTTTCATGGATGCCCCAACAAAGAATTTTGAAGGAAACAGTGGTTTGGGGTTGAGCTCCCATATGTATCCTGTTCAGAAATGCTATGATGTCAATTTCTAGAATGATGCTTTTTTCCGGTAACCACAGAAGAAATAGCACAACATTTGAAATCCTTTTCGCCCATTAGCTTCCCGTCCCCGCAGGAAGGAAGATCTGTGATGGCAATGGACATCGCTTTTGGTGGGAAACCTATGGACTTGTTGACGCCAGAGGGATTCTTGGGGGCAGTTTACCATGCCTGCAGGCTGGAACCTGGGACTGGTGCTCTTGCAGCACCAGTCTGTTCCTCCTTTGTATACATGATCCTAGACTGCAAAAGCTAATTGGTCTTGGCCCCCATGGGGTGTGTAATCCACCAGTCCGAGTTGATACAGAAGTTGGTTTTTAAATCTTTTAACCTAAAACGAGCACATGTGAACCTATGGTTTCCCGTCAGAACTAAGTCGCACTAAGGAACAAAGGAACAAGCAAGCGATCACCAGATAGACCAATGGGAGAAGAGTCATACCCCAGTGTGAAGGCAGGCAACACACTTGCCTGTCGCACACTGTTGATCGTGATGATAGCCCATGCCTTGTGCTGCTTTTGGGTGCTGGAACAGCCGAAAGGAAGCACCATGGACCTTTTGCCTTGTTTTCAGGAACTTCTCCGGAAGGTAACAGTTTGGAAACACAAGTTCAACATGCAAGACTACGGTGCACCATCGAAAAAACCAACATGGATCTATAGCAGTCTTTTGGCTGGGCTGAAATGTTGAAATCAATCCAACCGGAAATAGGTGGTTCAAGGGTTTCTGGTTTTCAACATATGGAATTTTGTTACATATGAATGGCTCCCTGAAGACCCAAAACAAAAAGCCACCTATTGGGGTCTATCGTTGTACACTGTTTCGGCGGACCCTGTTCAGTTTCAGCTAAGGGTAGAAGTTGTCGTATTCTGGCCTCCCAATCCAGAATCCGATGCATGATGTTGTGCACATGTGGGGTTGTATCATAAATGGTTGTCATGGGCATCCCCAAAGATGTATGCTTCTCGAATGGCCCATTTGATATTGACATATAGTGATATCTACACATGTAACATGTAAATATGTAGAAACACAGGTTATATATATGAGATATATGTAGAAGCGTTTGTATATTTAGCTACATATGTACATATATATATATATATTAATAATATATACGGTTATGTTGTACACAGCGTGTATGTATATATGTATAGATGTACTTGTGTAATGAGATATCTTTGCATGACCAATGTCGCCTGGTAAGGTCACAAGATCATCAATGAGTTGCCTGACTTCAAGCCAACTTGGTTACCAGAGCTCCCTCCGGTTGAAATGGCTGTCAAGTACGTTGATGGCAGTGGAAAACAAAGAGTGAAGGGAGGTTCTTCTTTGAAAGCCAGTCAAAGCTACCCTCTTCAGTTTCTTGGATTTATAGTCTTATTTTCAGCACCCTGCCAGAGTTTAACCTGGGGTCCCATGCAGCTCCATCCTGCATGCGGTGGCAACCCGTCCCAGGTTTGGAAGAGCCCTGTCCAAATTGAGAAGCCGCCATTCCAATCAGCTCCGAAAGGATGCAAGGGCAACCTTGAAGATGAACTTGTTAAAGGGCAAGAACACCCCTAGGAACACGAGAGCTGACTCTAAATGGATCAAGCACGCTGACTTGGGACCTGTCTTTGACTACTTGGCATGAGCAAAACTAGCATGCCAGGCGAGTGTGTTTGCACAGTTGGAACTCCCAACTCTCAAGCTAACAAAGTTAATTTGAGCTGCGATCGAAACTTGAAAGGACTTAGGGTGTCCTGAGAAAATATGTGCGCCAGCGCAGTGTCTTCTGGAGTTCTGATCTGTGGAAATTGTATGGTTCCCTTCCAGTCCATTGATCCCCTACCCAAAGTTTGCCATGCCTCGCTCCTGCAGGTGAGGAATGGGAAGACTCGTCCTCAAGCACATCACCAAAGGTGCTACCCACCCATGGCCGAGCAGTTGTGGTATTTGGCTATCAAAACATGCAGTCAATGTTGAGTTTGATATGTTTTGGCATGATAATGTTCAGAATTCAGCCGCGTAGTGTTGAGAAATTGGCCGCGTGGTGTGCAGAACAGCCGCGTAATGGTATCCCCCAGAAAACATATGGTAATTTGTATCCCATATTTGATTGCCATATGAGTCTTCCCAATATCAATCGGCTTCAGCCGCGTGGTGTTGAGAAAATGGCCGCGTGGTGTGCAGAACAGCCGCGTAATGGTATCCCCCAGAAAACATATGGTAATTTGCATCAGCTTCAGCCGCGTGGTGTGCAGAACAGCCGCGTAATGGTACTCCCCAGAAAACACATGGTAATTTGTATCCCATATTTGATTGCCATATGAGTCTTCCCAATATCAATCAGCCACGATTTCCAATCAGCCACGAACATTTCCAATCAGCCACGGAATGTGTTCCACTCTTCAGCTCCCAGCCTCTGCATTGCCAATCTTTGCTTGGCCTCAGACCAGATTTTGCTCAGACAGTGGTTCAAAGTCTCTAGCTGGAACCATGGGAAAAAGGACAGACGAGAAGCAGTCGAAGCGTGGCAAGGTTGAGAAAAAGGAAAAGGTGAAGGACAAGAAGCCCACAAAGAATGACTTAGCGAAGACCGACAAGAAAGACCGACCCAATCCCAAGAAGGCCGAGGAGAAGAAGGCAGCAGTGAAAGTGTCAAAAGACAAGTCCCAGAAGAAGAGTGCATCGTCCAAGGTACCAAAGGAAGAGCAGAAGAAGGCAGCAGCGAAGACCGACAAGAAAGACTTGGCAGTACCAGAAAAGAAGCATGACAAAGATGGTGGTAGCAAGAAAGTCAAGAAAGCAACACCGGTGCAGCCAGTTGAGAAGCATGAGAAAAAAAGAAAAGACAAGGCAGAGTGCAAGAACAGCAAACCACCTGTGCTTGCTATCCGAGATGCTCCGTCCCGAAGATGCACTACCAAGACCCGTCCTGAAACCGAGCCAGACACTAGCTTCATGACACCTCCCGAGCATGTGCGACGAATGTCATCGCCTTCCTTGTCACAGGCGTCAGACACCTCGTTGGCAAAGTATGAAAGGGAAGCCGAGAAAGCAAACATGAACCTTGAGGACTACCTGCAGAAAGTCTCATCGGAAGAGCTTGAGAAGGCAGTCGAGGCACGCATGAAAGAAATTGTTGAGACGAGTGATGGACAAGAGAAGGAAGGGAAGGAGAAAGAAGAGCAGAAAGACGAAGACAAGGAAGAGGAGAAAGAAGAAGAGAAGTCTTCGAGCGCTTCCAGCAGCGATGCAGAAGTGAGTGATGCTTCTGATGATGAAGAAGATGTCAGTGCTAGTCTCGGGAAAGAGCATGAAGGAACTGATGAAGGCTTAGATGGAGAACCTTTATCGGATGATGAGGGCGAAGAGAAGAGCGAGGCGGAACTTGACAGTGATGAAGAAGCTTCAGAAGATGAGGC